GGAAGAGGGGTGTGTATGTGTGTGTGAATGGGAAGGGTGTGTGTGTGGAATGGGAAGAGGGGTGTGTGTGTGTGTGTGTGTGTGTGTGAGAGTGAGTGGGAAGAGCGGTGTATGTGTGTGAATGGGAAGAGGTGGAAAACGTTCTTCTCTTCTGCATAGGCTTCTGTCCTTCTCACCCCTCAGCGTGATGCTGCTGTTGAGTATAACGTGGGCCGCACACATTTGTAGCTATAGCTGCCGACATGTATGATGTTTCCAGCGTGGTGAGTGCGACCAAATCCGTCTTGTTGCCTGGGTCTTACCTGCACGTCCAGTTGGTCATTTAAGGCCATCTCATCCCCATCTTCCTTAATGCCCAGAAGCTTTCTGCTGGTTGGCCACCAGCCACGCTCGTTGGGCCTTGACTGAATCTTGCCTGGTTTCCTGTTGCAGTAAGAATTACCTCATTTGGCTTCCTGTCCCCTGGCCTGCACCCCCTCCCCCGGCTCACAATTGTTCTCCTGCTGGTCTCTAAGGTGCAGGTCAGGTTGTCAGTTCTTAACTCACTCAGCATCCTTCAGAATCTCTCTGCTGCTGCCTAGTAAATTCCAGACCCCGTAGTGTAGCCGGCATGGCCTGTGGGGAGGACCCCTGACTCTGCCCACTATGCTGCATGTCATGCCCCCCATCCTCCCCTCTGCTGGTTCCACTGTCCCCTGCCCAAAGATTGGGCCATATTGTGAACATTGGAGTTGAGCAATGAATGATAGTGTTGATATTCTAAAATGCAAAGTGCTCAAGTAAGTCAGTTTTTAAAGTTAAACCCCAACAAAATTAACCAAGCATCAGATGATTCATGAAGTACAGTCAGAAAAAATGTTGAGCTGTAGTAATGATCAAAGAAATTAAAATTCAGACATTTTTAGGTTCCAAGGAACCAAAGACACCAAAAAGCTAATATGACACAGTTGACCAAAGAGCTGTGATACATTAATATTCCCAGTCTCCCAGTGAAGAGGGCAGGACGAGATGGGGAGGACACTTGAGGCTGACCCAAATGGAGCACGGGGGAAGTTTTCCAGGTGATGAAAATGTCCTCCATCTATGTCATGTATCACAGAACATCTCTATATAAAAATTTTCTATCAAAAATGTGTCACCCCATCAACAGATGTTGAGAAAAAACTTTTAAGAAAAATGCATGAAAATATACACTTAAAATTGGTGCATTTTACTCTGTGTAAATGCTAACCCAATAAAGATGATTAAAACAAAATATCGTTGACCGGTATTAGAAGAACAAGACACTTTTGTACATTGTGAGGTGGAGGTAGTGTCATAACATACATTAGTTCCACCTCTCCAGGAGTTAATTTTCTTCTGCCTTTTAAGAAAAGTGGTAGTGTTTGACCGGGTAATTTTTCTAGGATAGCATCCTAAGGAAAGACTTATGAATTCAAAGAATTTATCACAAAATTGGTAGCAGCTAACAACTGAGAAAAGAACCAAAATGTCCTCAGTGGGGGCAGTTAAATGATGCTGCATCTCTATGGGGTGACTGCCAGCTCATGGCCACCTGTGTGAATTGAGAAAAAGGTGCTTGTGAGGGGGCCGACTCAATTTCAGCATCACCTGTCCCCTCACCTGGGCACCTTCGCAATTTTTAGGTCTAGACCATGGCCCAGATCCATACAATGGTTGATGAGGCAGATGTTAAAACTGATGCCTTGAGAACAGTGGTGTGGGGAAGTGTTTTTAATGGAATGTTAAATGATAATAATAGAAGGTAAGGCCAGGTGCAGTGGATCATGCCTGTAATCCTAGTGCTTTGGGAGGCTGAGATGGGTGGATCACTTGAGCCCCGGGGTTGGAGACCAGCTTGGGCAACATGGTGAAACCTCATCTCTACAAAAAATAGAAAAATTAGCTGGGCATGGTGGCGTGATGCCTGTAGTCCCAGCTACTTGGGAGGTTGAGGTGGGAGGATCCCTTGAGCCCGGGAAGCAGAGGTTGCAGTGAGCCAAGATCCAGCACTCCAGCCTGGGTGACAGACTGAGACCCTGTCTCAAGAAAAAAAGTAAAACGTTATATAGTTCTGGCTCTTTTCAAAAATGTCAAACTCCTAAAAGGAAATCCACCAGTATATGACTGGTAGTCAATATAAATAATAGAATGATTCATTGCTGACTTTCTTTTTTACTTTTTCTTTTCCAAAATTTTCCTGCTGTCTATGCTTTTTCTAGTTATGAAAATACACATGTGTTCTTCAGTTAGGCTCTGTGTAGTGCTAACATCTATAACAGTGGTCTCTGAACACCAGATTAGACAATGGGGATTTCGTGGTGGCGTCAGGGGAGACCTGGGTGAGAGTAGCTTTGTTGAAGTCCCACTGACTCCTTTGGCGAAAGGAGATGTCTCTTGTCTACTCTTTCCATTTTATAGGTTTGAGACATTTGAGGTAAACAGCTTTGAGCAGTTCTGTATCAACTACGCAAATGAAAAGCTCCAGCAGCAGTTCAACTCGGTAGGCTTGGTTTCCAGACCCGGGGGTACCGGGATGGGGGAGACTCTTCTGGGAGGGACAGCAAGGTCACTTCTCTTCCTCTGAGGTGGGTGGGCCCTGGCTGTTTTCTGACATCCCTTGGTTTCCTCCAGCTTTGGGAAGGGGCTCTCCACTGCTCAAGAGGGAGAACTGAATGGGGACAGCTGTGCTGAGAGGGGAAATGATTCTCTCTTTGGCTTTGACTCCCATTCCTCTGAGCCTAGGTTTCTAGGGCATTGAAGCAACAGCAAGCCAGATATGGGGCTTCCTGTGATTAATTGGGTATACAGCAATTCAGGTGATTTTTAAGTGTCCCAGGAAGTGTTCACCCAGCAATGAGGAATCGCCTAACTGTGCTTTGCTTTTCTGCAGTCATGACTATGACTTAGCATCCAAACCTTTTCTGACAGTTTTCTGCTGTGCTATAGGACCCAGAACTCACTGAGCCCCTGGGGGAGGTGAATGTTAAGGTCTGCCTGCAGTTCACTCGTGTGACCTTTTTACTTGTCCTAGCATGTGTTCAAACTAGAGCAAGAAGAATACATGAAGGAGCAGATCCCTTGGACCCTGATTGATTTTTATGATAACCAACCTTGTATCGACCTCATTGAAGCCAAGCTGGGTATCTTGGACCTGTTGGATGAAGAATGTAAGGTAAAACTGATGATGTGAATTAGTTGAATTCCAGAGTAGGGGTATGGGGCAGAGGGAAGCTGTGTGGTACAAGGGAATCACATAAGATTTCAAAGGTTGAATTTCATCTTTAGTATGCTGGAAGAAGCATTGGCCTGCAGCATACTGGAAGCATGTACCATTCTGCATACTAGAATGCAGCATGTTTAATGTGACTGGCAGGTGTTGCTACACTAGTAAACAGGTGCCTCTCTTGGGGGAGCCTGGGTGGCATGGATTGGCATGATATGGTGGTTTGGACTTGATGCCCCAGGTAGCCTAGGTACCAAGAGGAGAACTGCAACATCTAATGAGCATCCCTAGAGAGTGAAGACTCCAGTCTGGGGTCGTTATTACCACATTAGATGGCTTGTGAGTGATAGAGATGCATGGCATGGTGGCAGGTGAGATTCAGAGATTTCTCCATCTGGTTTCTGATGGGCTGTACCTGGTGGGACAGGAGGAGAGCTGACTTGTCAGCCTGGAGAGTGCCTGGCAGCACTGGGAGGGCAAGGTTTAGAGGATCTGAGTTTTTATCAATTACCTAACTTCTTTGGCCTCTGGTTTCTTGCTCGAGGATAGGGGTTGCATCTAATCTACAAAATCTCTCCTAGTTGGGTGGTTGGTAGCTAAAGGGATATATATATATATACACACACACACACACACACACACACACACACACACACATACACATACACCAGTTCCTCCAAGGTTGGAAACTCTAATCAACAGATATAAAAGTCACACGATATTTGCTATTACAAGGGAAAGAACCCACTTGCCTTTACTTTCTGCTCTCCCACATCTTGCCTGTAAAGGGTTAAGTGTAGCTTGTTGGTTTGGTAGGAGGTATTTCCTTCCAGAAGGGCTCTCCTAGTTTCATTGCCTTTGAAAATGAAAGGGAAACAATAAAACAGAAGACAGAGAAAATATACCAATTCTACAGCTTGCACATCTTTTTACCTCCTGAAGATTTTTAGCATTTCACTAGAGATGTAGGCTTCATCCTCAGAGTCAGTATCCAGGCAGAGATAATCTCTCAGTGTGGCACATGTTTGTCCAGGCTTGCCCAACCTGAGAGGTAGCAGTAAAGGTAAAACAATTGTCCATAGATTGAGTGGCATTGGCTGAATAGCTGAAGTCACAGCCTAGGCCATCCTGCTGTTCACGACTCACTTTTATTTTCTTGGTTTCAGCATCCACTGCCACCACCTGCCTTCCCTAACTCAGCCAAGATCATGCTCCTCTTCCCCAGTCTGCTTTGAGATTCCCATCAGTAACTGCCTCCTCCAGCTCCATACCCCCAAAGCTAAAGGCAGCACCATGTTCTGCGTCCAACTCTGGCCTCTGGGATGCTAAGCTGGTGTGGCTCCCCACAGGCCGGTGCTCAGGAGAACCCTGGCTTTTCACTCTCCTCCCAGGTGGTGAAGGTGAATGTCACATACAGTTCTCAGGGCACAGGAGTAGGCAGTTTGTCCTACACAGGTTTGTGGAAAGCCTGGGTGTCCTGCAAATCAGGCTGGTGGGGGCTGGGCATGTCAAGACACTGGGTGGTACTGTGTACGTGACACGTGTAAACACACTGGTGGCCGAAGAGATGAGATGAACACCACATTAAGGAAGATGACAAAAGCTCACGATGTGGAGACTTTTTGTCCCAGGTTTAATTGCTCTGGGAATTCAGGATGATTTGGTATAATCTGATAGAGCATCAGTCGCAGGTGAATTTTAAGCCAACAGGTGTTATTTCATTTGTCAAAACTTGTTGAACTGTACACTTCAGTGAAAGGGTGCATTTTACTGCATGGAAATTATTCTGCAGTAAACCTGACTTTAAAACATAGGGGGGCCTGGAAGCACCCGTGGCTATGAGCCTGAGCAGGGTTGGGAGTCTCCCTGGAGTTGCCGTGACTGGGCAACTCGGTGCCCCTTGGGAGGGATCCTGTTGGGCTGTGGAAGCAGCCTCAGACACGTCCTTTCCTCCCTGTCTCTTGGTTACTTTGCATGGTGAGAACGAATAGAGATTGCACTGTGAACAGTTGGGCTCTGTGACCCCATGTGACAGGACACGGTCACATGAAGGATTGGACTCATGGTGCAGAAGCAGCCAGCAGAAAAATCACTTTTCATGGAGAAGCTGTGCAGTGACAGTCAGAGTAGTGAGCTGGGGTTTAAGTGAGAAGCGTGGAGATGGCGTGGCCATGGGTTTAGAGGGGCAGCATGCTGGGAGTGCTCCGCAGGGCCTGTGACTGATGCCACGGCTGCAAAAGAGAGTGCAGACTGGACCAGAATATTAAACCACCTGAGGTGGAAAAACCCCTTTGCAGACAGGCCCCAAACAAGCCACAAACTACAGTTGTTCCTAAGTTATCCAAGCCCACTCCTCCAAGAAGGTGTTTGATTGTCAGAAATGTTAATTTCCAGGCTGCTCTTAACAAGACTCTCCAAAGATGCCTGGTGGCCGGTGGGTAGTGGGTGTACACCAGCCCCTGCTGCCTTCTAAGCCCTGTTTGGGTTGGTAGTTCCTGCTGACCTCTTCCCACTCATCAGTCCCCCTTTCTCGCAGAAGAACAGGAAACCTTGAACCCTGGAAGCAATGCCAGCGAATGAAGCCCAGGCACTGTCTCAGGTTGGAGATGTTGGAGCACTCACCAGCGGGCCTGAGTAGGGTGGCAGGCTCTGCCCTGTGCCCTGTGATGAGGATTCTTTGTTTCCTGGAAGGGAGGAAATCACTCAGGACTGTGGAGTGAGATCAGCTCACTCAGTGGGGAGGCCAATGTCCCCTGCCCCCTGTTTCCTCACCTGGCCCAGCCTGCTGTCAGGAGAGTTTACTCTGTATTCAGATTGTGGTTTCTTAAGAAGTAGCCCCAAAGGTTTCCTTCTCTGGCACTTTCATGTCGAGGTATGACTCCTGCGATGGAGGGAAGTGAAGTGCCATTCCCACGTCCATCTGTTCATTCACATGGGAAGCCACATGTTCACGGAATAGTGCACTGAGCCCTGCACACGTTGAAAGGGTCAAGTGTCAAAGGCAGGCACTGAAGTGTCATCTATGATAACAAAGAACCAGAAATGCTGTGGAGGAAATGACAGAAGAAAAAGCGTCGTGGGGAGAGCGTTCCCAAGAAAAGTCAGATGAGGAGGGGCATTCCACATGAAGGGAATGTCACACTTGGAGAACTTGAAGTGATCTGATTTATCTGGAACTCCTGGTGGGGCAGGTGAGGTTGGAAAGTAGGGACCATGGGAGACTGAGAGGCCATGTCCACCCAGAGCAGGCATTTGGGCTTTGAAGGCATTTGGGCTTTGAAGCCTACCCTGAAGGCTCTGGGGATCAGCCTATGGGGGAGAAGCAGGAGAGAGAGGGCCAGATGTGAATGATCAGATCAGCAGGTCTCCCAGACTGTGTGCAAGCTGAGCTGGGGAGAGCCTGGAGGGGGCGGCACTGTGAGCCCAGGCAGGAGGGAACCAGGGCTTCCGGGAGCTCGGCAGGGAGAGGGTCTCTGTGAGTCCCTGGAGGGGAGCACTTCCTTCCAAGGGAGTTGTTGGGGCAGGAGCCTAATTTCGGTAATTTGAGAAGAACAGGAGGTGAGGCAGCGGAGACAGTGAGTTTGAACTTTCAGAGGCTTGGCTGTGAACAGGAGGGGATGCGAGAGAGGAGCATGGGCGTGGGCGGACTGTGGTCTGCCAGGAGGCAGGGGTGGGTGGATGGAAAGCCAGCCAGGAGGGAGGCCTTTCTCCCATGAGAAGGACAGAAGAGGGATGGCTGTGGGTGCAGATGAAAGTCTCTGCATGTTGCAGCAGGAGTTTTGGATTTCCTGCTTGACAGCCTCTATTTCGCAGTGAAGGAGATGAGGCATCTGCTGAGAGGTGGCAGGGTCAGAAGCTTGAAGAGAATGGAGGAAGGTGGGAATGGCTGCCCAGTAAGCAGAAAGAGAAATTGCAGAGTGCACAGATTGGTTTGCTGAGGTCAAAGACCATAAATTGAGTTTTAGGAGTTGTTGAGGTCAACTTCCTGCTTAGACCTAGGAATAGTGTCTTAATCCATAGAAGCGATTCTGTGAGTGAAATTCAGTTTTTTGTTTTTGTTTTTGGCTGCAGTACTGTATTATATAAAGTATATTGGCAGGGCTTGGTTACGGGAAGATGAGTTGATGTGTGGTCTTATCCAGCCACCTAGGTACGGGGAAGGAGAGAATGGGCAGTTGGATTCATCTTGAACTGATGTTTTGCTGGGCGTGCGGAGGGTATTTTGTAAAGGTGAAATATAAAGGCCTGGAAGCAGCACTGGGTGTGGTTGGCAGGTGAGGAGGAAGGAGCTGCCTCCATTCCAGGAGAGTGAGGACAGCAGAGTCCTGGGAGGCCCAGCTGGGCTTCTGTGATGGCAAAGAGGGGCAGGGCCGGAGCGTATTCCTTAAAGAGCCTGGGAATCCAGAGGTACTTAAGGTGCAATGATGTGAGAGGTCAGCAGCAGTAGAAGGCGTGACGGAGCCTGCATGGGTGTGGAATGGAAGGAGACAGTGAGCGGCCAGGAAGGTTGGCGCCAGTGGCCCAGGGAAACAGGAACGAGAAAAGAAGCAGACATAGAGTAACTGGCCTTGGGGTCTGTTTCTTGTTGTTGTTTTGTTTTGTTTTGTTTGCGACAGTGTCTTGTTCTGTCACCCAGGCTGGAGTACAGTGGTGTCATCACAGCTCTCACTGTGGCCCTGACCTACCAGGCTGAAGTGACCCTCCTGCCTTAATCTCCCCAGTAGCTGGGGCTATAGGCAAGTGCCACAGGGCCTGGCTAATTTCTGCATTTTCTGTAGAGACAAGGTCTCCTTATGTTGTTGCCCAGGCTGGTCTTGAACTCTTGGGCTCAAGTTGTCCTCCCACATCGGCCTCCCAAAGTGCTGGGATTACAGGTGTGAGCTATAGTGCCTGGCTGGCCTTGGGGTCCTTAACGGTCAGCTCCTGTCAGCAGCTTTGTTGGGGGCAGGCTTTGGCCTCAGAAGACGTCCCACGCCAATGATGGTAACATCTGTGATACAGATTATGGCTTCTGTTTAGAGTTCCGCAGAGAATGCTGAGAGGGGCTTAGGGAGCCAGAACTTGCACTTCCCCACTACAATGCCTGCTCTTTTTGTTGTTGTTGTTATTTTACTGGCAAGGAGTGGAGTCAGGTTTAATGTATTTCTAACAGCTTTAATGAGATATAATTGACATACCATACAATTCACCCATTTAAAGTATACAATTCAGTGATTTTTTAGTATGTTCACAGAGTTGTGCATCCATCCCAGCCACAATTTTAGAACATTTTCATCACCCTGTAAAAAAGCCCTTTAGCGGCTGCTCCCCATGATCCCCTCCAGCCCTGGGCAACCACTAACCGTTCTTTCTGTATGGATTTGCCTATTCTGGGCATTTAATACAGATGGGACCTTTGCTTTTTGATGTATCAGTGGCCAGCACACAAGGTCAGAGGGATTTAGGCCTCTGCGGGACAGAAGTGCCTAGACGAGGACCGAGCTGGAGTCCTAGCTCCTGGCTCAGAGGTCTCTCTGCATTGCTTTGAGAAGAGCAGAGAGAAGTTCATATGAAGCCGTATGTGGATTTCCTTTTTTTTTTTTTTTTTAAATTAAGTTCTGGAGTACATGTGCAGATCTTGCAGGACTGTTGCATAGGCACACACATGCCATGGGGGTTTTCTGCCTCCATCCCCCCGTCATCTACAAACTGGATTTCCTTTTTTTTTTTTTTTTTTTTTTTTTTTTTTTTTGAGACGGAGTTTCGCTCTTGTTACCCAGGCTGGAGTGCAATGGCGCGATCTCGGCTCACCGCAACCTCCGCCTCCTGGGTTCAGGCAATTCTTCTGCCTCAGCCTCCCGAGTAGCCGGGACTACAGGCACACGCCACCATGCCCAGCTAATTTTTTGTATTTTTAGTAGAGACGGGGTTTCACCATGTTGACCAGGATGGTCTTGATCTCTTGACCTCGTGATCCACCCGCCTCGGCCTCCCAAAGTGCTGGGATTACAGGCTTGAGCCACCGCGCCCGGCCTTGGATTTCCTTTTTAAAGGATTCAATTCAACTGCATCTTATGGAGCTACTGATATCCATGACCCAGAAGTTATTAAAATATACGATTTTTTTTTCTTTTTCCTGTAGCTATTTAAAATCTACTTCTATGGAAAGATTTTTGGAGATAAGCACCTTCTACCTGGTTCTGTTTTTGTGGCAGCCTTTAAAAATTTGTTGTCAGGCAGGAAAAGTTTACCTGTCCTGCTTAGAATCCCAGCTCTGCTATTTAATGGCAAAAAACACAATTACTTTTGCACTAACCTAATGCTTCCCCTTTATGTGAACTTGGCAAGTTACTTAACCTCTCTGTCTCAATCTCCTCATCTCTAAAATTTTTACAAACATAGCACCTAACTGACATGATTGTACAAGGGTTAAATGAGTTGATACATATAAAATGTGTGGAAAATGGCCTGGCAAACAATAAGTGCCGTGGGCACTAGCTGTGAGTATCATCTGAGACTCCGGATTGTTGTTAACTCCTGCTGGCCTTCCCTTACGTTTGGTTGGAGGTGGGGTGGGCAGTGAAAGGAGAGACTGATCCTTGTCAGAAAATATGTATACACTTGACCTTGGTTGTTGGTTTTCTCTGCTTATTAATTCACATCAGTCTGAATTAATGAATATGTAGGATTAAGGAGTCTTCTTACAGAAGTCCAATTTCATCTTCAAGGAAAGATGATTTTGTTCCTAGCCAATTTTACATGTTTGCTATGCGGGGCTTCTCACCATAGTTCTATCTGCCCCAGTTCTACCATTCCCTCAGGATCCCTCTTGCGCCTGTCCTCGGGCCAACCGGGTCCTGACAGCCATACTGGGAAGACCCCTCCTTCCTTCATACCTGGTGGTTCTAAACACAGAATGCTTGGAAACAAATATAAAATGGTATATATAGAAACTGCTGAATTAAATATATTTTATATATTTAATTGTACTGCCCGGTACAATTAATAGCCTCCTTCGAGATAGTTTTCTTTTCTTGAATTGCCCATGGTGCTTAGCACTGAGTATTCAATATTAGTTATGCCAAAATGAATCTTGAGCAAAATCAGCTTGCTTACAGAGGATTTAAGAAGTTGGTTCCCAAGTATGTAAGCATTTTCTTTATGGCACGAATTTTATTAGTTTACCATAAAAATTGCTGTGTAAATGGCTAGTGCAAGGGTCACTTGCAACCCTGCCCGATGCAAATGTGCAGTCTAAACCAAAGAAGGGCAGGACAGTTAGTGACCTGTCACTGAGGACTGGACTGATTCTGGTCGGTAGGTGTGTGCAGCAATGACCAGGGATGACAGGGGAGGGAGGAGGGAGCACTTTTCCACTGGAAGAGTTGCTGTCATCCTTGGCAATATGAGTGGTAGTTACAGTGACTCTGTTATATTGTCAATGAAGCAAGATGCTTTTTTCCTCTGAAGTCATTCATGAAGATATTTAAAAGGGCTGCCTTCAGGATTCTTAATGCAGTGGAACCTCTAAGTCTGACTCTAGACAGTGGCAGATGCAGAGATGAGCACCATGTAGATCATTCACTACTCAGTTCCCCCTGCATGGCCAGAACCCAGTTCTCAGTTCTTTCAGGGTCACATAAACAACATAAGGGACAGTCAGTCCTTGAACACAACAAACTTACAGCTTGTAGTGACGATACCCAAAACTCAGTGGTGCGCATTATGCTAGGGTATGTGTAAGAGCTTGATTGTGAGGAATTCCAAAGAAGAGAGAAGTGAGATCAGCAGTGGTCAGGAAAGGAGGGACTTGAGCCAGACCCAGATGATGGTATTTAGGTGAGTTTAGGGAAGGAAGATGGGCTTTCCTGTGGCAGGAGTTCACCTGGGTGAGCGGGTGAGCGGGTGAGCGGGTGAGCTTGACACTGCAGGTGGATGTATTTGTGATGCTGATGTCACTGCCCCAGTTGCAGGGAAGTACCTTTAGGTGGTCCCTCGGGCTGTGACTCTGCTCCTGTAACCTGGGTTTTCACCCTCATCTTCCCTAGCACTTCCAGTATCTGCCAACCAGCAGGCTCAGCTGCTGCCACAGGCCCCACAGGAGCCAATGGCAGGTGGAGGGCACGCCGTGGCAGGATCCTGAATGTGTATGGTTGAATCATTCTTCCCACCATCCACTTAAGGTCCCAGTTCGAGGGCTGAATCCACTTTCATGGAGCCAGCCTACTGATCCCATCCCTCTGCTGCAACCCAGGGCTGGCTTCTTCCTCTTCACAAAGCACTCTGCCCTGTCTCATGGTTCTGCAGGTCCCCAAAGGAACTGACCAGAACTGGGCTCAGAAGCTGTATGACCGGCACTCCAGCAGCCAGCACTTCCAGAAGCCCCGCATGTCCAACACAGCCTTCATCGTCATCCACTTTGCAGACAAGGTGGCTCTCCTCTCTGTTGGCTTGGGTAGTCTTTTGGCCCCTCCCTAAGTAGACTCCAGAGGCTCAGGACCTAGAGAGAGGGCTGTCCCTTCTGAATTCAAATGGCCTGAAGCCTCAGCTAGGTTCCCCTTCCATCCTCTCTTACCCACCCCTCCACTTCTTGGGGATGCCAAGCTTACCACGTGGCATAACTTAACAGGGGGTGCCATAGTTGTCCAGTCACTCATATATATATATAAATTATATTCTAAAGCAGTTAAGAGTCTACTCTCATGGAGCTTGAGCGAGAAGGGAGGGATGAAAACACAGGATCGGGTGGTTTGGCTTCTTACCTGGAGCCAGTGTGGCTACTCCTCGGGGTGCTGCTTTCTCCGTAGCTGGTGCATGCACAGACTTTTTCTAAGTGGATTTCTGTTTTCCACGCACTAGCCTGGTGTTTCCCAAATTGTAATCTGTGTATAAATCACCTAGGATCTTGTTAAAATACAGATTGATTCATTGGGTCTGAGGTATGGCTGAGAAGCTGCATTTATGAGCCCTAAAGAAGCCTTTTATTTTGGGAACTCCCTTTAATACAATTTCTTCCACAGTATGAATACTCAGTTCCCTCTGTGTAAACCCTGACCGCTTATTGGGTTTGCATTTTAAATGGAAACATCTGTGGGTTTTGCATCTACTCACAGCTCTTTTCAGAAAATGCTACGTGGATGAGATGAAAGTAGTTGAGAAACTGCTGAAGGAACCCAGTCAGGCTGAAGCACTAACGATTGTTCCTCTGTCTGCTTGCTGTGGCCCCAGGTGGAGTACCTCTCTGATGGTTTTCTGGAGAAAAACAGAGACACGGTGTATGAAGAGCAGATCAATATCCTGAAGGCCAGCAAGGTAAAGAGTATCAGAAGTGGGGAGTGGAGCAGGAGTGTCCACTGCCAGTGCTGGGCAGGGAGTGGTGATGCTACCCCATTGGAGGTGGAAAGGCAGAGATGCTGGGCAGGGAGGAGGCAAAGGGGTTTGTTGGTCATCTCAGTATGAAAGCACTTGAACACTATACCACTGTGAACGTGCTCAATCTCGTCTGAAAACACTTTAGTATTGCCTGATGGAGGGAAGAAAGCAAGGAGCATAGGGGTAAGGGGAGAGAACTGGGTAAGATGCCTGCTAATGGAGGGGATAGGGGAGCATGGGAGGTGACAGGAAGAGAGACGGCAATGAGCACAGTGATGGAAATGTAGCTGGTGTCCATCATGTCATCTTTCCTTCCTCTCCTGTCTGTAGATGTAAGATTATTTAAACCCCTTCGCATCTAGTATCTGCATATAATTTGTTGAGCAGTCGATAGAACCTCTCTATAAGCAGAAACTTAATGGAACAGAAGGTGTGATTTCAGGAACACTTAAATCCACTACTTTAGATTCTTTCTCTGTTAGTACCAGAATTTCAGTGATTTCAAAGCATAGGAAAAAGATAGCAAATATTGTATCCATTCTACAGGTACAGGAAACAAGGCAGCAATTCACCCAAAAATATCTTTATTTAAGCACCTACTTTGTAAGGCACTGCCCTAAACACACCATTTGCTCACAAAGATGAGCAAGACAGATTCCATCCTCTGGTTGTTCCCCTTCTAATGGGCTGTGAGTGGGCAGATGAAGACACACACAGGTAACTGTGAAAGGAGAGAAGGAGCGGGGGAGGGGGCAGTGCAGTCAGGGGAAGTATGTGCAGTGGCATTCTAAAAGCCGACTCTGATGCAGATGCTGTTGCTGGCTTTAGCCCTGCAGAGGAAACCAGGGTGAAAAAAACTTTCCAGGATTTAGGAGGCTTTCTCCCAGGCCACATGATACTGAACACACTGCAGGGGCCTGATAACACTGTAGAAATGGCAGATTAATTTCTCTTTGTGATAAGCTTTAGATGAATGCAATAGGGTGAGATGATAGAATGGAGAAAATGCACCCAGCAAAATGGACCCAGGACGTAAAACCAAGTAAACCCTGTTCCATCACGTGGCGAGGGGTTCAGGGAGGATTTGAGTCAGTAGCAGCATGCAGACTGCCGAGAACAGACCCCTGCCCAGTGTGATCTCTGGATGTCTGGAACATCAGAGATTTAGTCATCACTGAGACAAATTGTCTGTGGGTAAAAGTCAATATCACTTTGGAGTTCAACACAAGATTGACCTTGCAGCTCCCCAAGTTTTTAGGTCTCCAGTCTGTGGTGGTTAATGTGACTTTTTCCATTTTTCATGAGGGTGGTGGCATAGAGGAGGAGCCCCAAGGCACAGGGAAAGAGAGTAGACAGAAGTGGTCTGAGCACGGGGAGCCCCTTCCTCATGATGGTCTCTTACGATGCCTATAGGCCTGTGGCAACCTATAGGGCCCGGAAACCCTCTTGTCTTTGTAAAAGTTTCTTCTTTAAGATTAGGAGCAGAAAGGAGGGGTGGAGGGAAGAGAGTTGGATACTTTTCATTAAATACAGAGTCTGAGTATTGATTTCTGAGCATCTTAATTTGAGTAACTCTCAGGGGTTCCAGAATCAAAAAAGGAGTGGTGCCAGTAAAACTCTGTTACACGCACTCTCCAGCAGGTTCTCTGTTATTAGTAGCTGAGCTCCTTTTCCCTTATTTTTATTTAACGACTTGATTGAATATTTGTGTAGTATATAGCAGTAACCAACACATGTGGTTAATCTCATGGAACTTAGTGGAAAAGATGCACAGTTCAATTACAAATTGTAGTAATGCTAAGAAGGTCAAGAAGAAGGTGCTGTGGAAGAGAATGAGAAGGCCCCCAAGACCACCCCCAGGTTCGACTATCTGCTAGGAAGACTCACAGAGCTCAGCGTGTAGTTATGGCTATGATTTGTTACAGCAAAAACGTAAACAGCAAACTCAGCAAAGGGAGAGGTGCATGGGATGATGTGGGAGACCGGGCCCAAGCTTCCAAGAGTCCCTTCCCCCTGGAGTCATACAGGATGCACGTAATTCCCCCTGGAGGCGAGTCATGGCAGTTCTTTTGAAATGCCTATCAGGGAAGGTCACCTGAGTCCATGCAGCCAGGGTTTTTATTTGGGGTTGATTATGTAGGCACCCTTAGCCTAGCACAAACCAAAATTCCAAACACCCAGAAGGAAAGCAGATCCTCAATGTAAGCTATATTGTTTGCCTGAACTTTAGGCACAATGAACAGTTCTTATCAGGGAATGGTGAAAACCTTGGTGAAAATCCAAGTTCCCAGACACCAGCCAGGGGTTAAGCAGCCTTTCTAAGGATAGCAGATGCAGGCCTGCTGCGTTAGCTCTTTTCTATACAAGAATATTGTTTTAGATTGGGGATACTGGGTTTTTATTAGAAATTAAATATAAGCTCATAAAATTAAAATAGTGTAGAAATATATAAAATAAGTCTTCTTTCCCACTCTTTGACCTATCTTTTGATGGATCAGAAGTTACCCACCCTATTCTGCATGTTGGTACACCTTTTTAAGATTAAAATAACTGCATTATATACACATAGTCCTCTGTAATTTAGTTTTTCAGTTACTATTATATCTTGGTTGTCTTTCCACACGAGTACACATCTGTTTCTTTTTTTAAAAACAACTGCTGATAATTTGCTATTTCAGATAATGTAGCAGTGAATATCCTTTATGTGTATCTTTGCATACTTTTGTACAAATATGTCTGTTGGGTAAAATTTTAGAAGCAGATTGATGATGGTTCGAAGAGGATGCACATCAAAAGTGTATAGATGTTGCTAAGTTGGAGGACAAAATAGGGATGATCTACTCTTGAATGCGACTTCCTCCTTCTCTTTCCTGCCCGCCAACCACAATTCTGGCTTCCCCCCTCACCTGCTAAAACTTCCAAAGAGCCAGTGACCTTGTTGTCACCCTTGTCCCCATCCCAGCAACACCCCTGAGATGCGGTGATGTTTGCTAGCAGCACTGAGATTAACCAAAAAGGGCTTTGGCTGACCAGACCCTAGCTGGAGGAGGCCTTGAGAACTCTCCATCCTGAGCCCCTCCTAGCCTGTTTCATCCCTCCCAAAAGACAGAAAGCAAAGATTGATGCTGTATCACCATAAATCCACAGATGGGCTATACACAGACTGCAGCTGCAAATCAAAGAGTGATTCTAAGTATGCTTCACACCATTTGGGCAGATGAGCGTGTCTGGCAGCATCTGTCATTTTAGTATCTTGAAAGCTCATCATTTACTGATTGAATCTGTATTCCCTTTAAAATTTTTAGTTTTCACTGTAGCCCTATGAGGCATATGTTTCTGACTCCATGTTAAAGAAAAATGAAAACCTAGAAAGATACAAGGTTCTATGTCATTACATTAAAATTGTAATGCCTAATTTTTATTGGGTTTCATTTAGCACAGCTAAATCTCAAATCCTGTGTGTAAATTCATAAATTTACTTCATGACAGTTCATGAGAGACTGTTAGCTTTTTTCCCATTGTGTGTCATCCTTGATAAGAAATTAACAAGTTGTCATGAATAAGCAGTATGGGATAGAAGACATCCATATACTCTACCAACCAAAGGGGTGTTTGAAGAGCTCCCACTAAGAGAGTGAAATAACACGGTGTTAATGAAAACATAATTAGTAAAGCCAGTTCCATTGCCTAAGAGCTTGTAATATAGCTAATTGCTTTCTTAGCTTTCAGAGAGCTATAAATAGAGACTTAGGTAAAGAAATGCCTCTTTAAAACATGACTTCAAGTTATTAACAGACTCATTTGCTTTAAATACTAAAGGATGGAGGTTTTCCCTTCTAGTTTTTAATGTGAAAAGGAATAACTTATCAACCAGGAAAAAAAGTAAACTTTAAAAGGAGACTGTTTTCCCTCTGAAGATTTCCTATTCCTGGCCACCACTACATGTAGATCAGAGGGACAAACCATGGGTCATGTGTTTATGCCAGCGTGTGCTGGACAGTGAGGGTGTATTGGGAGGCATTTCTGGGCTATGGGACAGGCATCCCGAAGCTGTTTTTCCACTCTATCCCAGCATAAGGGATCTTGAGATGAATGTGGTTCAGAGACCACCTTGGCCCAAAGCCACCTACCCCAAGTTCATGAATATGACACCTACACCTCCTTTCCAGAATTCATATTCCAACAAACTCATCCCCGTCTGAAGCTCAGAGATCCTACCACTTCCAAATGCAATCTCAATGACAGGGACCTACAATTAAAACCTAGATTTTAAAATACAAACTCACCAGACTGAATCTTTGTCATTTTGGTACCCAAATGATAGCACAGGAGTTGCAGCAACGGCTCAGATAAGGCCCAGGTGTTCTCTCCTCATCTGCTTCCTGCTGCTTATGGCTGGACTTCAGCACACATGTCCATTGCTTTCTATGCTGATGTGTTTTTTAAAGTTTACACCCACACATCTTGTTTTGACCAAATAAGTTTGCTTTTTAAAAATCTTGTGTTTACTTTTAATTTTTTAACTTATTTATTATATAGGAGCTTGAGATAATTGACATACTATAAAACGTTCCTAAATATACTTTGAGTGTTTCCTGTTTAAGATGTCCTGGTATTTGAAAAACTTCTAGCAATACTTAAACTAAGTAGCATACTATATAGGAGAACTTTTTAGCTGACAAAACATTAACATCTCCTTTATAATACGGGAAAGTCCATGTTGTGTTCCAGAAAATGAAGTACTGAGACTTTTCCTCCAAAGTCCATTTAAAACCCTTTTAAAATAAACATTGGAGATTTTTCTCTCCAAAGAGTACCATTAGCCATGTAAAAAGAATTGATTGAAAGGAAAATGTGTTTATTATATTTACAGTCATAGATTTTTTTTTTAAAGAAAAAATTCTGGGGAAGAGATTCTTCTTATACTGTGTCTTGTTTTA